ACACAACTTAATTATACATAAATCAGTAGATTTTCATACGTTTTTGAAATGCATGTTTATCATTTATATAATATCGACATGTTTTAATGGGTTTAGGATGTACATACACATACATATTACACATGAGTATTTGTATGGTCTAGATATGCATGTTAATATATAAAAATTATTCTATTTTCTAATATAGGTTTCATACAGTACATGCTTTTACTTCATATGACAAAATATTTAATATATGGAAATTTGATGTACAAACTGTATATTGCATTTGTATATGGGAAAATAATGTTTTTTTTTTCAACTTTTTTTGCAACTTGAGAGGTTTAATTAAATGAATACATTTGGGTTTTTAACTCACAACCATGCATTAAGTTGTGGTATGTCTCCTGATTTTGTTTTCATAGTGCAGGTAACAAAGGCTGGAAGAGGTATTGACGTACCAATCACTTTGAAAACGCCTTCCAATCATCATTAACCAAACTCATTCACATTGCAATCACAATTCCCCTTTGTTCACTGTAGCGGTTGACCTTTCTTGGTAACTACAGGGTATTATTTCAAGGGTTGAGAACAGTGTTTTATCAGAATAAATGAAGGCCATTCTTTCCTTTCTGCAGGCATGTGTCTCATTTTGTTCTCAGAGAACTGCCGCATTGGACTGGAAAGGCTATCGACTCATATTCATCTTCATTTATTGTTACAGCCATTTAATAACACTCAGCAGGGAAGGATGAACTGGCACTGTATAATGCATCATAACTCCATATTAAGCAGAAGGAGTCTTTCCCTTAATGTCATAATTAGAGATATGGGGTATGGATATGCTCTATGAGTGTGATATACTGCCACTATATGTGTTTGAGATGTCAGTGTAAATTTCTTCACAATATATTCTCAAAGTAGCTCATCCCTTTTAATTCTTTTTCCACACAAAGAAAAGAAACCCTCAAAAATGATGATGTTTAGATGATGACAATGCTTAATTTGTAAACAGGCTGTGGTGCCAACACGGATGAATATTGGTATGGATATTCAAAGGCATAAGAAGAAAAGAGAAGTGAGAATGTTGCATGAGTGATATTTTTATAGTGATTCCTCAGATCTAACTAATGGAATGTAACTACAAGACTAGGAAAAAAATTTAGTCTTGAGTCTGGAAAGTAAGTGCGAGTCCCAAACATTTCCAGATTATTCCAGAGAAGATTTTGTAACTATGAGTGTGCCAGATTATGGCACGATAGAAGATCACACAGTGAGAAACTAGACTTACTAGGTGCTTCATAAGTAGCAGTATTTTGTCCTATCATTTATCATTATCCTTCATCAGAACACAACAGGTAGATGATAGCAATGATAAAATGTGGATAATATGATCAAATGATCTGTTAAGGACTTTAAAGGCTGCTTTTTGAACCAACAAATTGTTTGTGGAGACTGCAGGATATCTAGCCAGTAATGCATTATGCAATTTAAGTCCTCATAACTTTGCAATACTTTTAAGATGAAGAATGTTCTGTAAACACTGGAATATGGTTCCACATGCATTACCCTATTGAGGAAAAATAGTCCCTAAAATAGCGACCTATGATCATAAATAGCACAGTAAATCAGTATTTTTTATAACTGTATATACATAGTTTTGGGTACATTACATCTGTGTCCCAGGTATATGGGTAACTGTATTAAGTTTAAATTAAAATTGTAGTCTGTTAAATTCAATCATTATATTAATTGGTAAAAGCAAGTAACAACAAAACTATCAGTTTGTCCAACAGGGGGAGTGTTTGGGAGAACCGAAGGTTATTATCTATAGTTAATTTTCTATCAATTTCTATTTCTATTTTATTCTATTTAATGATGCCAATGGCACAGAAATTACACTCTTTAATTTTAACGAATTAATTGGGGTTTTGCTGACTAATTGAATAGTTCTTTCACTACTATATGCGTTTGGCCATTGTGGACAAGGCGACTTCATATCATACGCTTTGGTATAGCAACCTGTGAGGGCCTAAGTTATGTTTGTGAAATCATCAGTACCTGTTGGTTTCCAATGGACAAAACATTATTACAAAATCTACAGATATTCCATGTGATCTGTACAACAGTTTGTGGGGAATGCCATGCCATGTATTAAAGTACAGTAGTCAACATTTGAAAAGGTTTTAAAAAAAGTTCTAAGTTGTTCCAAGACAAGATCGGTATTGTTTTGATTTTAGGACAACTTTGATGAAAGGTTTGGATCCACTTCAAATGCTGACTACTATATTTTCATGCCCACCTATGATTGCAATATAATTTCCACAAAATAGACTCCGGTCGGTCACCTTACATTCTGTATCAGTGAGAAGACTTCCTCTTCCTGTGTGGTGGATAAGCTGCAAAGTGGACCAGACTCTGTGCCATTTCATTGCTATGCGAGCCTAGGCAAGCCCTGCAATACAATAATAATAAAAGTGTCAGTCTCATGCTGCAGGCTATGTATTCAAAATGAATGGATGGACAGTTAAAACATCAATTGGAAAACAGATGGCAACACAGTCTGGGGAGTGATGTGAAGAGAAGCAGATTCAAGAAAACTGAGATTTCTACAATGAGAAATGAATTGCAGTCAAAAGTTGTAGAGTTTGGGGAAAAAAAGTCTCCGTTGGCTTAAATATCCAATCCTGCTTTCATCTATTTGGAGTCTAGGTTTAATACGCATGAGGGGTTATTAAGAGGCTGCAATGGCAAAGTGAAAGCACCAGCCCTCTTTTAAAGGTTCTCCCGCCTTTATTGTTCCATCAAATTACACCTGCCCTGCCAAGCATGTCTGAGCTACGTAGTTAATAAAAGTCTGCCGAGAGTCACCCGCCGCACAGCAAGCGCATGAGGTCGAGATTGTTGCCATGGAAACGTGAGATAGCAAGCACCTGTTCCTTCCCTGGAGAGGGGCGACCGAGCTCTGTCCTCTTGGGAAGGTGTGGCGATTCCTTGGAAAGTCATCGGCTGCCAGATTCAACCCAACACAAAGAGCCGCGTCTGATACAACCATCGAGCTCCTGCTCAGCTCTGCAGCCAAACGATGTCAACAAACCATTGAAAAGAGCTGACGGCGCTGGTACTCATGCTTACCATGCAAGACTTGAAATTGGCAGAACTTCGTAGTAGTAGCTTAAAACACTAATTAGCCAAATCTGAATAAACCAGAAAAAAACATGTGAGGTTATAATGCAAACACACCAGGCCAGAAATATACTATGCAAGTACACAAATGTGAATGCTTGGTCAACTCATTGCATGTTGCTGGTTGTTCGGGTCTGGTGGTTTTATAGTGATTTGCGTTCGAACCGTAATCCAGGTTTGGATGTCATGACATGATCTTTGACGAGGTCAATGGAGTTAACCATACATTATTCATTTAGCATTCAAGGAATGTAATGTATCAGTATGTGCGTTACCTGGGAATTGCACCCTTGATGGCATTACTATTGCTAGGCAGGCAAATGCCTTCCAGAAAGAGGTAAGTAAAATATGTTTCACATCTGAAGGGGTTTAAAAAAAAAAAAAAAAAAAAATTTTTTTTTTTTTTTCAGGTGTTGTTACTTTCAGATGTGAAACATATTTTACTTACCTCTTTCTGGAAGGCATTTGCCTGCCTAGCAATAGTAATGCCATCAAGGGTGCAATTCCCAGGTAACGCACATACTGATACATTACATTCCTTGAATGCTAAATGAATAATGTATGGTTAACTCCATTGACCTCGTCAAAGATCATGTCATGACATCCAAACCTGGATTACGGTTCGAACGCAAATCACTATAAATCTAAATTTTTGTGTTAAGCTACAGTACATCACAATAACATTCAAAGCTAAAAGAGAGCAAATAACATGTAGTCACACAAGGTTGAATGGAGATGAAATGTATATTTGCTCTGTTGTTTGGATGGGCCACAAGTATCTCATACAGCACTCAGCTCAGGTTCTGCTACCAGTCTTATCACTAGGCTTAAATATGAAATCGCACAGCTTCCACATTCAGTACCATTATGTAGTTCTGTTTACATAATTTCAGTTGCCTTTTGCATTCCAAACATGAATGTCAATAATTAATCATATTTCCTCATTGTTTAATAACCAACCATTGCCTGAGTGCAATGAAAAGAAAAACAATGATTCTAACATATGAGAGGACAGCTTATGGCTCAAGCCAGTGTGAAATGCTGGTTTTGATTCTGTAGTCTAACATGCTTGCAACAATGCTACAATTCTCAACAACAAAAAAAGTAATTTTCAGTCGGAAATTGATTGAATCGCAACTGCTTTGTAAAAGAGTGAGGTGATTTAGAGCGGAGGTATTTGTGAAGTCAAGTGAAAGAGATGGCAAAATGATTATGCTTTGATAAAAATGAAGACAAATTGCTTTTCTTTGGAATAACATGCCCGACGAGACCAGGAAATGTTCATTAAGAAGCCCATTTGGATTTCAGTGCTTCTCAAGCATAAACATCACAAATAACAAGCTACTAAATGCTGGCTATTAAATCTGTTTCTGGAAATGATCAGTCATGATTGATGTTGCATGAATGTCTCTCACGACTGTCGTTTTAATATTATGCCGGGATCTGCAGGCCCATCCCGAACAGATGTTTTTGAATGTTATGCAGATCTTTGCAGCTTCAGCACCTTGAGTAGGTGTAAGGTCCTGTTTTACCGTGGTCTATCCTCACGGCCTGAAGGATGACAAACAGCCTTGAAAAATATATAGTCTTCCAGAATGTGACGTATGTTCAGTTTAATAAATAATGCTATTTAGTTTAATATTATTTAAATAATCAAATATGCATAATGCATGCTGTGCTGTTACTGTAGTAGTCTAATGATTATGTCAGAAGGAAGCAATTCAAGTTCTGAATTTTAATACAAAAATAATCAAGTATTATATACATATAAAAAGTCTGTCTCTTGTAATGGTAATAAAGTCTGAACCTAAAATCACTGGACTGGAGAGAAAAGATCAGTGCAAGACCTTTAATTCAACAGGCCATCCCCTAGAAAAGAGTTGATCTATGTCCAGCCAACAAATGTAAATATAAAAACCAATAACTCATCATAAAAAAGTGGATATTGCCATAATTGTACATCAATGAAAAAATACATAAATACATGCATGGCAGTTTGAATAGTTTTTTTTTTTTTGCAGAAAAAATTAACTAAGCTATAAAAAAATAACATTACAGTTTGTTTTGACATATTGCAAGAAGACAGGTTACTCTGTAATTTCAGATTTCATCAGAAAAGACAGACTCCCTCCACAGTCCCATCCATTGTGCTTTTATAAAAAAGGAAATATGAATTCTAAACGTATGCACTTGATGTTCTTGACTCATGCGCCAATGGACAACATTATAGCAATACACCGGCATATATGAATGAGCCTGCAGCGAGCATAACAGGGTTGACGCTTGCAGAATCCAGTTAACGTCCTATCCGACGGAAAAGAATGCATGTCACAGCAAACCTCTAGTTATATATGTATTCATGCAAAGCTAGAGTCCGATCATTGCGTGCCAGTTGTGCAAGCCAGTTCTCCAAATGTGTCTCGTCACACATCGGAGTTGAGGCTGAGGTTGGCTAGCCGCGGGTCAGAGTTGATCTCGTATCTGTAATGGTATCCCTCCATATGATCTCTGCACGCGTCACGGATATTGTACATCCACCCCTTGATCCCTTTCCTGTTAAGGTAAAGGACCAGAAGGAAGATGACCCCAATGAGGGCAAGAACCATCCCCAAGAACACATAGGAGGGCTCCAGCACACGGTCCATCGCGTCTCCGGCGTTGCTCCAGCACGAGAGCTGTGATTGTTTCAGGGTTAAAAGTGGGGCATTTTTTAGTCTAGCTGGGCCAGAACAGGTTAGGTTCAATCTGTCTACCACAAACTCATGTCTCTCCAACCAAATCAACATGTCCTCAATATTGCAATCACAGCGCCAGGGGTTTCCCGCGAGTCTGACTCGCAAATCAGGGATCGAACTGAGCTCCTCTAGGGTCACGTTGGGCAGGACTTTCAACGCGTTGTCTCGTAAGTCCAACTCTTTAAGTGCCCGATTGCATAACGTATCATTCCTGATTGTAACAAGGGAGTTGTTCCTCAAATCCAAAACAGTGAGGTCAGACAAACCCGCGAATACGCCTTCTGGAAGGAGCACCAGGTCATTATTGGACAAATCAAGATGGGAAACCTTAGGCAGGCTGTGTTTGAATAGATCTGCAAACACGCCGATGTAGGAGTGATTGTATAAGGATTTGCTGAGGTTTAGAACCTCGATCTTGTTGTCTTGAGCTAAAGCCTCAACGCTGAACTGTGAAATCCTGTTGTTGCTGAGGTCAAGTAAACGCAGACTTGGCAAGTTTTTAAACACCATGGAGTCCAATTCCTCCAGTTGGCTTCCAGACACATCGGTGGATTCGCCGTGTCTTGTCTTGTGTAGTGCTCGGGGCTCGGCATCTCTCTGTCCCGCTGCGCTCGCTGTGATGATGATGATGATGATGACTCCCCCCGCCGCTCGCTGTGATGTTGACTCTCCCTCCGCCGCTCGCTGGATCCACACTGGGCGCTATGCACTGGACTGTACCATCAGGAGCAAACAGGGGGCGTCAGGGACCACACACAAGATCCAGCAGAGTTGTGACGTTTTCCAAATGGTACATTCTTTTACGGGAATGTGCAGGTAAATAAACTAATAGTTACACATTCTATAGGAAACTTTATAAACATGACACGACCAATAGACACTTATGGTGTAAATACAGTATCGCTTATATATATTATACTAATAAGTATCGCTTTTTATTTCTCCTCTTTCCTATTATACTTGTTTCACTTCTGTTTCAGTTTTTATAAGCATTTCTTACTATGTGTCAGTAAGTTGTTGTTTTTTAGCATGTGTGTTTGGCAGTGTTATTTTTAGGATTACTGATAAACTACTGTCATTTGATTTGTATTTGTTATTTATTTTAATTTTAGTTAAATGATGTCTGAATAGGTCTTTTATTAAGCTTTTAGTTTTATTTAATTTGAGTTATTTTAATACTTCAACAGACTAAATGGAAATTAAATAATATATATATATTGAATTTATAAATGTGTATATATATATATGTGTGTGTGTGTGTGTGTGTTTGGCTTAGTGTTATATTAAAATCATTATTATACTCATACCTTTTGTTCTTTAATATTTTGAATTGTTTTTAGCTTTATTTTTTGTTTTTCATTTAAATGTTAAGTTTTGAAATTTTGTTGTATGCATTTGTCATTTTTATGTAGTACTTATAAAGTGTTAGCTTTTAGTTTTGGATCTGTTTTTAGTTGTTTTAATACTACAATTGATTGCTTCTGTTGTCCTCATTTGTAAGTTGCTTTGGATAAAAGCTTCTGATAAATGACTAAATAATAATAATAAATGACTAAATAAATACGTGTCAAATTTTTATTATGCATTTTAAAAAGGTAGCCTATACAAATCATGATGTTTCTGAGTAATTTTGTATAATTACTTTTGCAAGAGTAAATGAAAATAATCGAAAAAACTTTATTTATTTACAAACGGACATACAAATTATTTTTCAATTATTCCACTCGGATTCATTGGCATTAACAAAAGTTTTCTTTCTATCTATCTATCTATCTATCTATCTATCTATCTATCTATCTATCTATCTATCTATCTGTCTATCTGTCTATCTGTCTATCTGTCTGTCTGTCTGTCTGTCTGTCTGTCTATCTGTCTGTCTGTCTGTCTGTCTATCTATCTATCTGTCTATCTATCTCTAATATGATAATGAGTCATGTGACTCATGTGTAAGGTATGTCTGTCATCTACCTATCTATCTGTCTTTCTGTCTGTCTGTCTCTCTGTCTGTCTGTCTGTCTATCTATCTATCTATCTATCTATCTATCTATCTATCTATCTATAATATGATAATGACTCATGTGTAAGGTATGCCCCGTAAGCCCCGCCCCCACTGAGATGACGCAAGAGGGGGGACTCTAGCAACCAGCATACAGTGTAGTCCGTCAACAAGATATGCTGAAGATCATAATCATAAGTAACTGGAATATTTACAATAAAATAAGAAATGTTTGTGTCACAAGCGCAAACTGTGATGTCCTTTAACACCCCGAGCCGTCCAATGACAAATAACGACACAAGTCTGCAAGTCGAACTGTCCAATGAAATGTCAGGAGGATGCTCGTCTGATGGGCCAATCAGAATCCGTTTTACTCGTGCGTCCACACTTCTAGCTCCTACTTAACCGACTAACTGCTGCAACATATTTGCGGCAAAACATCAATACATTCATTTAAAGATGTTTCTGTGGATCTGCCGCGCTGGGGACAACACAAACATGGCCTTCTCTTTCCTCTAGCGTCAGGTGAGCGAGCGCTGTTAGCGCCTTGTGCTTTAATCTCGGACGCTACGCTTAAAGAGAGAGAGCTCTGGGGTCTCCAGATGATAACACATGCTTTGAACTGAATCCTTTGCTCGGTTTTTTTTAGATTTAAACACATTTATGATCACAAAAGGATCAGTAATATCCAAAACCGGATGATTGTAGCTGATGGTGGGGTGTTTGGAAGCTGTCAAACTACATCATGTTTCTTCAAGAGTTGCTTTTGTTAAACACTGACTTGGAAACTCTGCATTATTCTATACACTTTTGTTTGTTTGTTTGTTTATTTTACTGCTTACTACTGAAGATGCTTTATTACCACTTTTCTAATGCCATCGTTGTATATATTTAATGATTTGCCTCAGACCCAATCTTAAAATATGACCATCCGCTTGATATTTATTATATATTACAACTATGATAAGCTCAACGAAGTCCACTGTGGAATATTGCTGTTAAAAAGCAAGATTTTTTGCCCCCCCCCCCCAAAAAAGCATCCATAACTAGGCTAAAGAAAACCCCCATCTATGTTAAGTATAATTTTACACAAAACAGAACTAATTTGAGTGCTTTATGTGGTTTTCAGCCGAGTAACTTTGGTGAAGTTTAGGAAACTAGTCTAGTCATGAATAAATGCACAACTTTGTACGATCTGGTGAATTTTACAGGTTAATTGCCATTTTTGTGGTATTGTTGATATTAATCTGAAAGCCATTCTTTCTGTTTCAGGCACGCTTTGCAATTATGGAGGCTTAAGTGGTGGAGCGTGTTGGGGGAAGGAGTCTTTCCCCTCAAAGCTGATGGACTCTTGAATGGACAGCACAGGATTTGCCTTTTGTAAAATACGATGTATAGATAGATTACAAGTTAACTAATTTTTGTTGTTGTTGAGAAAACTGGAATATATTTGTATGTTTTTGTACAGAGAAATGAGTGTTTTCTTTGATGCTGATGATTGTTCCAAAGGTTTTGTGGAAAGTGTTGCCGATGTGGTGGATTGAGATGAGCTAGGTCTTCACTCTCGGGGCCGCTAGGGTGCCGTGGAACCTCAACACATGCACAAGTCTAGCGCCCCGAATTCACAGAAAGGCGAAACCTATTCCCTGTTTTTTTCATTTTGTTTTCTTTAATTTATTGCAGTTATTTGAGAAATACATTTCTATGCTAGTCTGAGATGTTAAAGCACAGGCGTGTGGGTGGAGGTGGGTGTTTTGGGGTTGTAAGTTAGCGGGTGGGAAGCTAAAATGAGTCTGGGAAGCCCAGACTGCACACCGAAGTGCCGCTCTGTGAGGCACGCAGAGGAAGTGATCGCCGCTTTGACCAGCGGCTCGGAGGGCCGTCTGCAGGGCTTTCTGTCCGTCCACTGTCACAATGCAGCTACCCTGCGGGACGAGTTTGGGCGCACGGCTCTGCACCTCGTGGCCTCTCTGGGTAAGCGTGACCTGCTTCAGTGGCTCCTAGACAGCAAACACGCCGACATGCTGGCGAAGGACAAGGAGTCTGGGTGGACCGCACTGCACCGCAGCGCCTTCTACGGGCAAATTCACTGCCTCATGGGGCTCATCAAGGTGAGCACGGCTTCATTAATACGAGTGTTTCACTGACTGCTGCTAATACAGTATTTAGAAAGAAGGGTGACCGATGGCCAGTATAATGCCCATAAACGGTACTGGTCAAAGTTTGGAGTATTTAAGATTTCTTAATGTTTTTGAAAGAAGTCTCTTTTACAAAAATACAGTAATATTGTGAAATATTATTATAATTTAAAATAAGTGTTTTCTATGTTAATATATTGTAAAATGTAATTTATTCCTGTGACGGAAAGCTGTATTTTCAGCATCATTCCTCCAGTCTTCAGTGTCACATGATCTTCAGAAATCAGTATAATATTCTGATTTGCTGCTCAAGAAACATTTCTGATTATCATCAATGTTGAAAACTGCTTAATATTTTCGGGGAATCTGTACTACAGTACCATTCAAATGTTTGAGGTAAGAAAAAAATTAAGAAATTAATCATTTTATTCAGAAAGGATGCTTTAAATTGATCAAAAGTGACAGTAAAGACGTTTGTAAAGTTTCTAAAGATTTATATTTCAATTAAATGCTGTTCTTTTGAACCTTCTATTCAACACAAACTAAAAACATCAAATAAATGCAGCCTTGATGAAGTGAAATGATGTGCACAAAATTCACAATAAAATTGCAGTTCATTTAGGTGTTTCTAGGACCCAGAAAAGCACTATATAAATGTAACAAATTAGTATTATTATTATAGAGGCACAGAAACTGCACACTCAGGGTTGCCAGGTTTTCACAACAAAGCCCGCCCAATTGCGACTAAAAACTAGCCCAGTGGTGTTTCGAGGTGGGTCCCCTGGTAAACAAAATCACATTCTGGAGGGTAAAATAATTTTTTTGGGTGAGGTTCCACTGGTAAAATTCACATTGCAGGGGCTAAATATCATGTTATTGGAGTCGCTTCAACCTGCGGACATGAAAAACAACCGTGTTAAAGTAGCCCAATTCCGCAGGAAAACCGCAGATTGGCAACACTGTGCGCACTTCACCTTTTAAAATGAACTGAAAACAAACAGTTTGCTTTTTTTCTCATCCAAAACTAGCTGATTTTGGAATGGACATGTTAGTGATGGTCCACGTCTGTTAATTTGGCCAAGTGAGTATTATATTCATGGGCCAGTAATCTCAAAATAAGCTAATAATGCCTGGGTGATACATGAGTCAGTTACTGTTGAGAATTACAACAGATTTCTGTGGAATGTGAGTCACCAGAACAGCGTAATCTTTTCCTCCCCATTCCATTGGTTCATTGGTTTGTATGACTGTCTTTTATTGCACCGTGTTTATATATTTGTGTTCCAGCGTGGCGGAGCACTGTCCATCCAGGACAAGGAGGGTCTTTCTGCCCTAGACCTCACCATGAAGGACCGCCCAGCTCACATTGTGTTCAGAAACACTGGTAATCAGCATGGATTAATTTCCCTATTAATATGTATGATTGTGCCAGTGCTAAAGAAGTATTTATAATTATTAAACGAGTTGTTCACCTTAATGTTAAAATTCTGTCCTCATGCATCCATACTCGTATCATTCTATACCTGCATGTCTTTTTTCAAGATTTTGTACTTTTTCCCTTCTGCAGTAGCACTTTTGTGTATTGTCACTTATCAGTCCACTTGTTTAGTCTGACATCACCATTTCTGGATCCAAGCACACTATCAGATTCCAAACGCAAACAACAAACAGTGCTTATATACACTCATAGCACATAGCTCTCTTTG